TTAGCGCTTTCCCTTCTACCTCAAAAGCACACGTGGCAGAGACTCACAAAAAAAGCATGTCCTGTCCCAGAAGGGCTTATGCTGTTTTAGAAGCAGAGACATCCTGTGCTGTTTAAAATTCAAGTGGCAGAACTGCTATGGAAGTGTTTTTTCCTTTTCTGCCAGCATGTCTGCAGGTGCTCACCCTCTGGGGCAAGAACATGAACTCGGCAGTCCCAAGCAGCCAGCCTCTATTCTGTTGGATACACCAAAAGGAAGAGAAAGTCACCGTTGCACATAGTTCAACTTCTGCCTTCACTGCCCTAACAGGGTAAAAACTGCAGTCCTTCTGACAGCACGCCCAGCTGCACTGCAGGGTTACTCGATACCACCCACCACCACCTTCAGTTGATGTGCAAGAACATTAGGACAGACAAAGACTTTAGATTTGTTTATTCAGATACAAATTGAAAGCAGATGAATGGAGCACAGCCCCACTTCCTCTGCTGCCTCTTCCCCTAACTACAAGAGAGAAGAGGAGAAGCAGGCAGAAAGCAGCAAATAATAATTTAGTGACAGAAGCATTGTGTTTCCCAGTTCAAAACTCTGCTTTTGGATGGCATAGGGACAGTTAGAGCATCAGTAGGTCAGTCACGGGGGAAATGGGTCATTTCTAGCCAGCTGTCGCCACCCTTGGGCACAGAAGCATCAAACTGCCAGGTCCCAATCCTAAGTGTACAAAATAAAGCCTTGTAAACAGGTTTGCAGCATGCATTAAGGAAACTACTTCAGGAACTTCTGTTGCAGCTTGCATTAAGACAGCTCTCCTTCACAGTTAACCTTTCTCTGAATTCTGTGCGGAGAAGGGCCCCAGACAGAGCTATCATCTCAAAGCAGCTAAGATTTCCAGTCTGATTGGACCTTCTCAAGGCATTCTGTCTTTACTTCCCTCTTTGGGATGATTACTTGAACTGGGTTTCTCTGGGTTAGCTCCTACAAGTACCTTTGTGCATACTCTGCAGGGAGGGGGAGCTGGCAGAAGGCAAGAGGAAAGGTACCGACACAGCAAGGAAGCCTACTCGACCTCTTCTGATTTGGAAAGGGAATGTCTAACAGGAGCGGTTGGAGGAACTGCTGAACAACCGATGGAGGACACCTTGAGGAATTTTATAGCTCACATTTTTGGTACCGACAGGATTAATTTCCTGGACGCTGTGCCAGCACGCTGGGGCACAGGCACAAGCAGGCAGGCACTGGCAGATCTCAGTTGTCCTGTTTTGCCTCTCGCAGCTGTAAACCTTTTTCTTTTTTTTCCCCAGGCCTATGGAATCCAGTTCTCTGCTCGAAGTAGCTTTTCTGAAAACACTTGCTGTAGAGATTAATCCACTGTAGAAGCAAAATGCTTTATCAACTCACCAAGCAAGAACACGCACATTTTCTATTCTCCTTCCATTCTTTCTGCTGTTACTTAAACTGAGATTGAGCTGTTCCTCCCCAGCAGCATGGGTCTGCTCCACACTTTCCCAGACAGCCTTTCACTTATTGAATTACCAGTCACTTGTAGGTTCCCTCAACTTCCTTTCACAGGATGTGAGCAGGAGAGAGGTACTACACCTGCAAGGAAGTGCTGTGTACGGCAAAGCATGAACAGGAGTTGTACTACAGGAAGCCCGGCCACCAGCACTCCAGGGGCTTCACAGCTGTCTTGCTGGGATGTGTCTGCTGTGCATTTGCGTTGTGAGCTGCAGTCCAAGTTGGCCAGTGAAAAAGAGAAGCTGCTAAAGGAATTAACTGTACATTTCACCTGCTAAATGACGGGTGGCTCTATTTAAGCTTCAGAGGGGAGTCCCCATGTAAGGATTTAGCACACTAACGATTTCTATGCCTCTCCCAGAAGGCCAACTGACCTGCTGATGTAACAGATTGGCTTTGAACTCCTAAGCACCACTGCATCCACTTCCAGCAACTGTTTTCTGCTGAGAAATTCCGACTCCAGCCAGTAAGGCTGCAACACCCATTTGGTTCTTCATCCCAACGCAGACAATGCGCTCTCCGCTCAGAGGCTGCACAGAATGCCAGGATGGACAAGAGGCAGGGATGGCAGCAAGCGCCTATGAAAACCGGTAGCCCCAGGCTCTCGAAGGAGCTTCCCTCCCCCCCCTTCTCCCTACACATAACACAAATTCGCAGAGTCAGTTTTCTATTTGTTTTCAAAGGGATAGGATTTCAAAGTCTTCATCTTCTGAGTCAAAGAACCTTTCCAATCTGTCAGCATCAGAGGAGTCTGCAACAGAAAAAGAAAGCACTGCCTGCGTGGGACGCACTGACTGCTCAGCATCAGTGAGACCAGCAGCTGGAGGACAGCAGAATTAGAGTGTCAAGTGCCCGCAAATTCCAAGAAACTCAGCGACATACCTGAATGAAGGCTCTGAGGAGGGATGAGAATAAGTCAGTAGCATGGAATATGCACTGGAGAGAATTATATGGTGCGCAGAAGGTGCGAGACGTTTCACAGATCCCAAACACAGCCCTAGTGCGGTGCAACTCTGTGCTGTGACTGTTTTGTACAACCTTCCTGTGCAGCTCTGTATTAGCAGGAGACCATTCTGCCTCAAGAGGCTCAAAACAGGAGACCTTGCCCAGGTCTGGACTAATAACCCTGAAGATTTCTGGCCCAGTTAAGTGATATGGGAACATTTCCCACCCCACCCCACCCCCCATGTATTAGAGGCTTGTTTTCTGCTATAGTTGCCTTTGATCCGGCTACTGGGGAATGTAACTGCACAACATGCACTCTCCCAGAAGCAATTAGTACAGCTCATTTTGTGAGGAAAGGTAATGTACTTGATCCCTCCTGTCCATGCTTCCAACTCTATGGTGAAGAGGGAGCAGATAAATAAAGGGGAAGCAGCTTCACCATAGGGGAAATTCAGGTGAGAACATATGGGCAAACCAGGGAAGTAAAGTAACCGATGTTAACTCAGGCTTCAAGAACTCACTGGACTTGGCAGAACAGCCAGCCAAAAGCTAAATCCCCCCCCCGGCTGGGGACAGAGGTGCAAAGCTGCAGACCCCTCTTGACCATTTTGTGACAAGCTTCAATCCCACAGTAGTGTGCAAATGCCTAGTGTCACTGTTTTTTGATCAAACTACAGTGCCCATGAGTGCTGGCAGCACAACTTCCAGAGGTGTTCCTCAAAGGAGCAGCCCCCT